ATTGATAGACAACTTGAGTATACACAAGCTAATTGATGACTCATACACGGACTAACAGATGGCTTTGAGTATGCAAGGATTGACAAATACATAGAGAAACAAATGGCTTCTGTATAAACGTACATCTTATCTATGAATGAACGGACATATGGACAGGCGACTATGTGTATGAGTTGGTGGATATGTGATGAATGAGCAATGGATGGACATATGACTTATGAACGAATAACCAAGTTATTTATTAACAAACAATTAGCCAAATGACCTCTTTTTAAATTGATGATGGATCTTATTTAAAAATGAACGGATGGATGATCCATTCATTATCTATCAATCTGTTCATTTGACCACCCATAATATGTTTGGTTGTCAAACAACTACCCAACATCCACCTATCTATTCATCCATCCATCCAACATTCGTTCATTTGTCCATTTATCCATCCCCTTTATTGTTTGTCCATCATCTATATCCATCAATCCGTCCCCTACCATTTGTCCATCGTTTGTTCTTCTGGCCATCTTTCTAGTGATCTGTTGATCTCATCATTATCCATCTCTTTGTCCATACATCATTTCTTCTTCAATCCGTCCATTTGTCCCTTATTCTTCATCCACTATTCTTCCATTTGCTCAATAGATTGACGAATAGAGGGATGGACGGGCATCTTATATATATGCATATAGCTTAAAAAGTATGAATACGCAGGTAATAGAATGGGCGAATGACTTATGTATCAATGAATAGGCTAAACGAATGGAAGGACAACTCAAATACAAACCAATGAATGACATAATACTAATGAATTAACGAATGATATAAGAATGCACAAACTGATTGATAGCATAACAATAGATGGACTGACAAATTGATAGAGAAACAAATAGCATTTTTTATGGACAAACATCTTATGTGTGATTAGATGCATGGAACTAGTATTTTTTTTATCACAAAAGAATAGTCAATTTTTAATGGTAAATTTGCCGCAATTTTTTTTTTAAAGCTAAATTAAAGGTTAAATGCTATTTTAGTCCTTAAACTTTTAGTTTTGAATATTTTTAGTCTTTTAATTATTTTTTTACAGTTTTATTCCTTGAATTATGAAAAATATAATTTTTTTAATCTTTTTTTACTAATTTTTTGAATCATTACATCAATTAATCTGTTAAATTTATATACGCATATTTTGAGTCCCTACACTTACATATATTATAAGTCCCTAAACTTACATATATTATAAGTTTAGGAATTAAAAATATACATATTTAGATAAACTTAACTAATTAACTAATGAAAGGACTAAAAAAATATATTTTTTATAGTTTATAGACTTAAAAAGTGTAAAAAATAGTTTAGGAACTAAAAGTGTTTAAACTTAAAAGTAGAGGAATTAAAATGGATATTTAACCTTTTTAAATTAGATAAATATACTAAAAAAAACAAGACAGATATTTTTTAAAATTTAATTTTATTGCTATTAATTAATTTTAATAATTTATTTAATCACCCAAAATTTTCTTTTATCTTAGTATTTTATGTAAGTAAAAATACAAATGATATACACAACAAAAAAATAATTATTATTCTAAAATTCGAGGAGTATCATTACTTACAGTGGAACATCAAGTCCAAATACCGTTATTCACATTTCATATCAATTTCCGTCATTTTTTCTTTTCTGAAAGATTAAGATAAACTAACATTAAAAAAATCTAAGTATAGAAAAAAAAAACCATTACAAAAATCTAAATTTAGAAAAAAAAACCATTATAAAAATCTAAATTTAGCCCAAAAAAGATTTAAAAAATAAAAACATTATTTTGAGACATTTTCTTTTGTGTATTTTGCTTATAGTAAACAACCGTGATTTGTAGGAAAAGAGAAAAACTCGATTCTGAAGAAAAGTGTCAGAAAATTTCAGTTTTACCGACATTATTTAATAATTTGTTTCAGACAAGACAAGAATTTTCCAAATCATAAAGTCAAATAAGGTAAATTAAACTAATAAAATTGATTTTTTTAAAATAAAAAGGAAAGAGAGAATTTTATAAATTCCATCTCTATCAGGTTCCATTTTCGTCTAAATAACAGTAGATTTAGATCTATAATCTCTGCGTAAATCTCTATCCAAATTCCCCTTCCCTTCTCATGGATAATGGGTTCCTTCCCTTCCTCCGACAATGAAACAATCGCCGGAGCTTTAGACGGCACACAAAAAGCTCAATCCTTTCACTAGTTACTGACACTCAATCTAAAGGTATCGACTTTGTGTAGAGACAGTGGAAAACGGAAATGGGTTGTTGCAGAAATGGAAGAAATGGAAGAAGATTCTTCGTAATCTGGAAGATGAGCACGAGAAGTTGAGCTTCTTCTTTTCTTGGGGTTTTTTTTTTTTTTCTCTCCTATTTTGGGGATTATAGTGGTGTCAAAAGATGATATCTTCGGGGATAAATTTGGTGATGACAGTGATAGGATTCGCCGTGAGCACCATGTTCATAGTGTTCGTATGCACACGGCTGGTTTGTGCTCGGATTCAACTAAATGCTTCTCGCAGATCTTTTCCTCATGCTTCTAGATCTGATCTCAGTATGGTAAGCTTTTCCCCTTTTTTTTTTTT